TTATCTAACAAATGAATAGCTAGGATTACGTCTCACAGTCTTACAAAATCAAATCGTCTCACGGTCTCACAGAATTAGGTCGTCTCACAAAACTAAACATGTTAAAATCCTGATTTATTTTGTCTTTTTGGTACGACAAGGGCAAAATTGTAATTTTTACAGTCTAATATTTTCATTCATACATTGATTCATATTTTAACACAAAAATTATATAAAATACAAAATCTAATAAAGTACATTCATAGTTTAATACACAAAATTCACTATTTAATATAATTATAAAATCATTAATTCACTAACTTATGGGAGTCAAACTCAAACTCTATCACCACCACCAACTACCACATGTTGGCACCAACCATTTATGTCAACATCGCGACCGTCATTCCATTCAAACCAAATATGTATATAAAATCATGCATTGTCAGCTAAAATACTATATTCACAGTTTAATAAACTTATTAATTCACTAATATAGAGTTTAATGTAACATTTATAAAAACTCATAGATTCTTACATATTTAGTACACAAAAAATACTCATGAGAAAATTAATACAAATGTTCATATTTTAACATAAAATTCATAAAAATATCATAACTTAATACAATAAATTCACAGCTTATTACAGTTAATTCATAATTAATAAATAAAATTAACAGCTTAATATATCAAATTCACATTCATATTCTCTATCTAAAACTTACATTTATACCTTCAGATATGTGGGTTGGTGTTTCTTTCAAAATTTCATTTACATAATATTCATAATTTAAATTTTACATATTTTCTTCAAAATTAGAGAAAATAAAATATATATGTATAATGCTTCTTTCATCTCATATTTTCGAAGAAAACATAAAATTTATAAAAAAAATATATAAATAATAACATCTTAATATACTCAATTCATATTTTAATATATTTAATTCACAATTTAATACACAAATTCCTAGTTTAATAAAATATATTTACAAGTGAAAAATTACCTCTAATGATGTTTGGAGCCTTGGAGGTTCTATTAGATAGTAGTTGATACACTCATCACAACTTACAATTTAAAAAACCTAAATTCACATTATTTGAGAAAACACTAATATAATACAAACATGTTAAATTCACATTAAATCATTTACTGGTTAAAACTTATAAAAAATTCATTTAATCACAAATAAAACTTATAAAAAATCATGCATTCATAGCTTAATTCTTACAAAAAATCATACATTAATAGCTTAAAACTTATTTTAACTAAAACAATCAGATATTTATAAAATACATGCATTATTAAATTTATAACTATAAAAAAACACTTATTCACAGCTTAAGAAACTAGTCTAGACATTTATTCACAATTTAATAAACTAGTTCAGAAACTTATTCATATTATTCAAAGTTTAAAAACATACCTTGTTTTCAGTGAGACATTTCATCAACCACCTTCAATGCATCTTATATCCAGATTTGAGATTGTTCCCTTGCTTCAGATCCATAAGCACTGATGGTAGGCAGCAACCATGGTGGTGCGACTTCAGTTGTGGTAGAGGTGCAGTCACATTATCGGTGGGAGCATCAGATCTGTTGGTGGTGATTTCCATCAAATCTATTGTTTCGACAAAGCAAATCGAAGATGTTTACTTGTATTCAATCAAATTTAGACGTCGAAGATCTAGAGACTAACTAGATCTGGACTTCGGAGTAGAGTGTGACATTTTTTTGGTGTCCCAACGAAGCAAAGTAACTGATGTTAAGTGGCGATTGGTGGTGATAAGGTCGACTATCAAATATTACCAAATCGCACCAGATTTGATATGTTTTGCGTTTCATAGAGAGAAAGTGAAGATGAAACAACTTCTTGACTCCGGTTCTGAGACCAGGTGACAATCGACGGTGGATGTGGAGGTATATCATCAGATTTGTGTTTCTGTTGGTGGTAAGATAACGACAGGGAAGAGGAATTCGCGATAACAGTAATAGAGGAAGGTGGTGGTTATCACCGCTTGTCGGGGCTCATAATCTAGAAGTGAAAATTAAAGATCTGAAGTCAAAATATATTGATTTAAAGACAAAAATCGTCGATCTGAAGATGAAAATCATAGATCTAAAGAGGAAAATCGTAGATCTGAAGCTGAAACTGTAGATATGGAGCCAAGCGAAGCTTATGGATCTAGTGGTGGTGGTTCGTTGGTGGTACAAGGTGGCATCAGTTCGTCGGTGGTAGGAAGCGGCGACAGTCAAGGGTGGTGGCTGGTGGCAAACTGGTGGTAATGTTTATATCTTCTTCAAGTTTGAGATGAGAGAGAAGATAAACATGTGAGAGTGTATGTAGTGTGTAGATCTGATATAACAAAAGATGAAAATGAGTTCTTTTGTTATACTTTAATAAAAATGGTTCTTAAGTTGTTCTTAGCTATCACATCCCCGAACCGGAGAAACGGCGGAAACGTCCAGGGGTTGGGTGACTTCAACTTTTAATATCATAACAATGTATATAACTGAAACAAGAGAACATCATCATCACACATACAATAATACAACAGTACTGGATTTACAGCAATGTAATTGTTTATAAAAGTTACATCCTAAAAATATAAAGTGATCTTGATGTCCACCTGCTCAACGATTTCCTGAAAATCCAAGTTATTTGGAAAACGTTAACATATATAATATTGGTGAGTTCATAAGCATGTTGTAAGAAAATTCTTGTATCGCTTTGTAAACACTAGAAAATCTGATATTTTCTGTAAAACGGTTTAAAAGTTTTGTATCAAATCTTGTGTAAAGCATGTGTGTTTCTATTTTGAAAATGTATAAAAAGAGTATTCCATAAAATCCTATATTTTATGTTGTAAGTAGAAGGTCCTATATAATTGTATGTTTTCCCAGGAAATCCGATATTTTCCGTTTATAAAGGTGTTGTGGTCTTAAAAACCCTAAGACCAAATACTAGTGTATGTATGTATGTTTTTGTATCATCAAAATTGTATATGTATTCCGTAAATTTTACAGTGGAGTTAATCTCTATGTGATTCGTTATAACCATACTTGATAATGACTGATCCACCTGTCATGACATTTTTCAGGTGCCGACTTGCTTAAGGTAAGGTTTGTCACCCTAGACTAGCCCAGTCTAACTATAACGAACAACTCAGGTGTGGGGTGTCAACCCCGTATAGATCTATACGCAAACTTTCGCTCTCCCTCCAGGAGACTCTGGTTATAACTACAGGCTTACGGTTGTACACTAGATAGGTACGAATGAATAAATGTCTCACAAGAGTCTTAACTAAATTTATGTGAATATTATATTACACTATGTAATGTAGTAAATGATGTTTCCGTGTATATTTTAAGTTTACAACGCACAACAAACATGTAAATGGACAACAAAGGCTCAATAGACATGTAATGAATATTTCAGACCCACTAAGCATATAAATGGACCACAAAGGCCCAATAAACATATAATGTATATTCCAGGCTCAGTAAGCATGTAAATTGACTATAAAAGTCCAATAAACATGTAATGTATATTCCAGGTCCAATAAAAGTGAAAATGACGTATTTAGTCTGTTTGTTATTACGTTGTTTGTTCAAGCTCAATTGTTTACCAAAATGACATAGAAGCCCCACTTTTTGTAACAAAGATATTTCGGTCCATAAAACTGAAAATTTACAATTAAGACACATTTTTTGTAAAAATGAGACTTTAGGTCCCTTAAGACCAAAAGTTTACATTTAAGGGCTTATTTCAAATAAAATAACATTTTTAGCCCACTTTTATTAGAAATAACATTTCGGCCTAATTTTATGAAAATTGACATTTTCGGGCAAAATGTATAGACATTTACCTTTTCGGCCCCAAGTTTAACAAAATTGACATTTTCAACCTATTTAACCGAAAATTTACATTTTTGGCTCAAATTTGTTTAAAATAACAATTTAATCCACAAAAGTCAAAAGCTTACAAATTAATCCCATGAAACCGTAAAGGCTCAACTTTAAGCCTATTTTGTGAAAATTAACACTCTTGGCCCTTGTAAAACCATAAATGTCCTTAAGCCCCATTTTTTTTTATAAAATGACTTCTTTGGTCCTTGTAAAACCGTGATTGCCATAAAGGCTTCACCTTTTTGTTTATTTGTCAAAAATGGCCCATATAACAGTTTGGATCGTTTTCTAGTATATCATAACAAGTTTTAAACTTTCCATTTTCATAGTACGTTGCATGTAATGATTTAGTTTACAAATATCACCAAGATTTGTTAGCAATTTCGAGTTTCATAAGGTTTTAAAACATAATCACAACATAGAACATGGAAAAACACACAATACATGCATAAACACATAGATCTAACACAAAGCAACTTGTATCCTCCCCCAAAAAACAATATAAAACCGAAAATAAGGGTATGAACTCACTTTGGATTGATGGATTCGGTTTTTGAAGAAGATTTGAGGAGGTTTCGATCCTAGCAAGCTTCCTTGAAGAGATTTTTGTGTTCTAGGAAGCTTTAAGAAGTAGGAATCATAAAATGGAGTGATTAATAGTAATAAGTTTAACATAAACATGAAGTTAATCTTCTTGAGTGGAAGTAGCTTATCAAAATGAATGGATTTTGATGGATTATCCTTGGTCTCAACACAAGCACCTACGATTTTTCTTGGAGGAAAATGAGAGGTTTCTTGAGAGTTAGATAGGATTTTTGTGTTTGAAAAATGAGTGAAGTGAGGTTGGTTAGGGTTCTCTCGGCCGAAGGTAAGAAGAAGAGAGAGATGAGACAAGATGTGGCATGGAAACATGAGATTGCATAGATAAATGTTGTGTTTGGTGCATGGATATACATTATGTAATATTGAGGTCTCACTAATTCAAATAATCCATGTTTCTTTTCCTTTGTTTATAAAACCGAGAATTAGAGATGGGAGGGAAAAGAAATTTGAATGTTGGGTTAGAATGGAACAACAATCGTAAATGTATGGCCCAATAAGTAAGTTATCGGCCCATTGGGCCCACTTGTGTGTTTACGGACCAATGTAAAAAAGGAAATGGGTTTTTTCGTCCCATTCAGGTTCACGGAAGTTGTTTACGGCCCAATAAGGCCCATGAAGCAAAGTGAGACATTTTAGGTCCAATAAGGCCCACAAAAAGTCTTATGATCCAAAATGTTATAATTTAATGAATGTGGGTCTATTTAGGCCCCAAATGAGGATTTTTAGCCCAAAATAATTCAATTGAGAGTTTATTGGCCTATTAGGCCCAATAAATGATTCTTGGCCCAATAATAGGTTTGAACCGGGAAGTTAGGGTTACAACCCAAAGTCAAGTGAATGTAGTATATTGTATTAGGTTTAGGGATTTACAGGTGAGTTATGATTCGAGTAGTTTTTATTTAATTGAATAACATAAATAGCTTCAAGATTCATCAAGAGTTGATCATACACAAATAGAATTTCCTAGCCAAAAATACTAGTTGTAACATCAACCTTTAGTGGGTCTCATTTGATCTTTTCTCTCTCTCTCTTCTGCTCTAACCCTCCGGCGTACCGGAGCGACATACTTGTTATAATCATAAATAAATATATAGCGCCGCCCATTCCTTTCTCCTTTACCACCAACCCCACCACCTCAACCGCCAACGAAACGACCACTACCACCACCTCTAACACCAGTCGACCCCACAATTGTTACATCTTTCACTTATATCACCTCTATCTTTATCACCACTACCTCCTATGCCACCAACTTTCATAATCATAGAGGATTACTCAATTTATGAACAGACATATATGTATGATCATTTATCATTAAGCATATACATATAAACATATATAATCATATACGAATATATGTCTCTGCCATATAATCATTTATGATTAGACATACTTCGTTGTTATATATATATATATATATATATATATATTAAAAACCAATAGAAAATGCATAAACCTCAAAAAAAAAAAAAAAAAAAAAAAAAAAAAAAAAAAAACCTAAAAATATATAAAAAATACTTTGAGATAGATAATCTTTTTTTTTTACTTTATAAAATTAAAAATCACATAAAAATTAATTTTTATAAAAAATCATTTATTTTTCAATGAATGTGACTCAAAACCTGCAATTTTTAGCCCTTTAAATAAACAAAAAAAAGATTAGATATCTTAAACTATTATATATATATATATATATATATATATATATATATATATATATATATATATATATATATATATATATATAAGGAATGGTTCGAATGACGATCCAAATATGTTTAGAACCCTACAACTATTTTTTTAAATGTTTTCATTAAAGATATTTTGGACAAATTAGACTCTAATATTATATTAAGCATATTTTTTCATTCACAAGTTTACAAATAATTACCACTTGTTGTTAGACCGCCGCCGGACCACCATTAATCCGTCGTCGGACTAACACCAAATTCAAAGATATTTTTCTGGACGTATTCACAATTTAATAAAATAAACATTGTAGTTCACATTTTTTTGTTAATAATTTTTAACACATACAATTTTATTTTTGAAAAAAATATATATACAAAAATATTTAATAAAAAAATAGAATTATGCTTTAACAAATTCAATTTTGTTTTTTTCTAAATTACAGATTTTTTTTAAATAAATATATCATGTATAAGACATATTCGGAATTTAAAATATCATGGTCACATTTTAATAGACATATTAATTCAGTAATACACAATTTAATATCTTCATGTATATCTTCATTCATATTTTAATATAAAATATACAACTTAATACAGTCTATTTTTAGTTTAATACATAAAATTTACAACATAAAATAATACAATTTATTTTACACTAATAGATACATATTTTGAGAAATCAAACACCAACTTTATCACCACCAACTATCACATGTCACTAATCACATGTGACTTTGTTGCAACCATCATTCCATCCAACTCATATATATATATATATATATATATATATATATATATATATATATATATATATATATATATATTATATATATATATATATATATATATATATATATATATATAAAATCATGGATTCACAATTTAAATATTATATTGACAATTTTAATAAATCAATTAATTCACTAAGTCTGAGTTGAATGCAAAATAATTAAATTTTTTAATACATTCTTACATATTTATACAACATAAAAATGAACGTATTCACAAGAAATTAATACAAACATTCATACATAATTCATTTATATTTTAACACAAAAATCATTAAAAAAAATTAACACA